TTTTTTTTTTTTTTTTTTTTTTTTTTTTTTGTGCTTCGATCTATTCGTGGGGAGCAGCACGTGCGGGGAACCGGGCCCAGCGCCCCTTATAAATAGGAATACAATGTTTTTTAGTATCATGTGGAACTGGATCTCCCCAGTCAACTGAATTTAAAATTATTTAATTTTATGAATTCTTAAATTCTCCAGCACTTTCGTCATAGTTTACGCATTAAAAAAAATCAGGGGGGATCTCACCTGAATGGTTGATAATTAGGATAAGTGGCGGGCCCAGATCCCGCCCGTCGCCGGTCGCCCATCGATGGACCTCGCCTCCATGTCTATCCTTCCATAGTCAGATGGGATTGCAGACCCCTGTCATCGGGGACTGGCCCATGGCAGGGGTATGTCGATACTGCCTTGCAGGGCGCGACACCCAGTGCCCTAGCGCTATTATCCCCCACGCTCCCGCCACCCCAGTAGTAATTAGCTCTGGCGAGGCGCTGCCTTCGTTCGCGGCAGCACCAGTGTGATTCCCTGTTGCCTGTAGCCGCGGCCGCGGCGGCGCTCGTGCTACCTCCCGTACACCCCCACTGGTGCTCCATAAATCCTTGAGTGCTTATGACACACCATTTTTGTCCTTTTCTTTTTGTTTTCCCTTGTCAAGTTATTACTCAAAGTATTGGGCCATGAGCCTACCAACTTCATCCGAATAGAACGCCCGGACATTATAGCTGTGTATTTGACACAGCGTGCAGTCCAGATACGGCCATAATTACCGGGCATTTTGTTCGGGTGAAGAAGGTAGTGCCTTGTTTTCACCGGGTTGTTTGTTGAGGATTCCCGGCCTCAAAGTCTTGGGCTTTGATAATGGATTCTCTACCTTTTCCCGAAAAGGAAAGAAAAAAAAAAAAGGATTGCAGTTGATTCACAATTCAAGAGAACGACCCTCTTAGGGCCTCGCCACACCAATGTCGAAAACTGATTTTTCGACATTTTCTCCTCGCCACACAGCATGTCGAAATCCGAGATGCAAAAAAAATTCAGGAGCTGTCAGGGAAAGGGTTTCGACACCTCCTCTCGAGACGGGCTCGTTTCCACTTCAGGCCAGCAACTTGGAAATTTTCAACAGTCCTCCGATGGGATGTCGAATTCTTGCCCGAATGTCGAAAAAGAGAACGCACCAAGGCTTGTCCTATCTTCATCCCAGTTTGTCTCTTTTGTGCGTAGGACTTCAAGTTGTGAGTTCTTCACTTGGGACATGCGGTGTGGCGAAGAGGGGTTTTCTGTCGAAAGAAGGAATGTCGAAAATCTCCTGACATATGTCGAATTTCGTGATGTTTCGACATTGGTGTGGCGAGGCCCTTAATCCGAAGGTACTGTCCGAACTTGAACAGAACCTGCGGTTATTATCGTCGTATCAACTACTCTAAGACTGATCTTGGCCCCAAATACAGCTATTACATAGTCCTTCGGGACATTCGTCAAAATTGGAACGATATAGGGCCTCGCCACACCACTGTAGAAACAAAAAAAAGAAGGAAATTCAATGATCTTCCGGCAGAGAGGGCAAGATGCATCCCTACTATGAATAGCAACGGACGCATCTTACCACTTCCTGGGGAAGATTCTTTTTGTGTTTCTACAGTCACTGTGGTGTGGCCAGGGCCCTGTCGTGGGTCCAGAAACCGACCTCTACAACACCCTGGACTCAGAAAAAAAAAGAAAAAAAAGATTAGGAAGGGCCAGGGGCGAGGTCTCACTAGCAACGGAATAGGATAGAAACGAGTTTGTGCGGCAGTTGAGTGACCCAAATCCTGCCGTGCAGTACTCGTGATCCCATGGTCAGTATTGTACATGTATTACCCGAAAAAGCAAGGAGATCTTTATTCCCCTCCTCCTCTCCTTAACACTGGGCAAGCCAGTGCAAAGAAAGCTTCCCGCCAGAACCTTTTCAATCAGTTGGGGGTGTGGCCAACCCCAAAAGAGGGTGGGGTCGGCCATAGGCCCAGTGGATGGAAGATTTTCAGTATTTTACTTCAAGTTGTTGTTGTGCGATTATCTCATTGGGTGGAGCCCTCCTTCAATCACGGAGTATTATATGGAGGGTGTCGGGATCACTGCTGACAGAAGTCGAGTTTGGTCCAGAAAAAAGGTGGCGGTTGCTTTGTTCACTGTTGATGCAACCGCCACCATCAGATCATTTGTGATCTGATGGCTGGGAAGCACTCTGCCGTGATTTCCGGTGGGAGGTCTCTGTTTCTTTTTTTTTTCTTTTTTTTTTCTTCTTTTTTTCTTTTGCCTTTCTCCTGTTTTCTCAGCGCAGAAATTCATTTCGTAATGAACCTGTCAGCCCGCTGCCACTCAGTGTCACACTGGATCGGCCACACTCCTATCCGACTGCTAATTGGACCTCGCTCCAGGGCCTGCGCAGTAAACAAAAAGAAACAGCTATAATTAATATGACCACTCGTTCTAGTGCGCTAGTGTTCTAGTATGCGCATAAAGACGGTACTGTCTAGCGTTGACCAGCTCCAATTACATTCAATGAAACAAGCAGATCCGGCCGCCGCATATGCGGTGGGGACCACAAGGAGCAAAAGCAAAAAGAGCACACTGCATCGCGGACGTCAGGTCAGGGACAGTTCGTTCCTTGTCGGGGCCAGGAAGCACTACTGAGGGCCAGATCCCACTGGCAAAGAGGAATGGAATAAGCCTCTGAATCTGTACGTGTTTGCGGAGAGGTGGTTGTCATTGAACTTCTTTTCGGCATCCCTTTGTGGAAGACGTCCAGATTCAGCCACTTAATATTCCAATCCTCGTTGCCAGTGGGATCTGGCCCCAAGTCTTCGGTGGCCGGCTTGAGATGAACTGCTGCAATACAGACCTGAGTTCGAACACGGGCGGGTTTGCTGAACTGCTGAAGGACAGACCTGAGTTCCGAAATCTCCGGCTCGCTAGTATGTACTTGTTGTAATAGAACGTCCGCACCAAGGAAAAAGAATACGGTGGTGTATCTGTCCACGTTCCAGCTGAAGATTCATTCTCACTTGCCAACCATGATAGCTAATTTTAATGAGACACAATGTCAAGTGGAAGTTGGCCAAGCCACACAGACCTGGGGCCTGGTCCCACTAGCAAAGAGGATCGGATAGAATGCCCGAATCTGGACGACTTTGTAGAGAGGTGCAGGAAATCGAGATTGAACTGCTTTTCTGCATCTCTGCATAAAACACGTCCAGATTCAGGCATTTGATCTGATCCTCTTTGCTAGTGGGACCTCGCCCCTGGGAAGGGTCAGAAATAGGTTGTGGGGGGGGGGAGCAGCTCAAGGATTCCAGCGAAAGACCACTTTTTTTTTTTTTTTTTTTTTTTTTTGATACCAAAAAAAGCAGAGCCTTGCGACTCTGGCTCCTTTCCATTCTCGGGAGCTTCAGTTCGGTTCCCATTCCACCGGCAAGACAAAAAGGTTACAATCGACACTCGCGCACACTCTTCCCCATTTGGGAAAGAAAAAAAAAAAAAAAAAAAAAAAAAAAAAAAAAAAAAAACCCCATTTGGAAAAAAAAAAAAAAAAAAAAAAAAAAACAGTTGAGAAGCATTGATTACTTACCGAAGGAAGGAATCAATGTACCACAATCACATCCATTCATATAAACAACCACAATGTTAAAAAAAAATAAAAAAAAAATAAACAACCACAATGTTCAGGGACACTGGACCCGCTTTCCAGCAGGTGCTGCTCCCCACCAATAGATGGAGCCCCCCCGATAGTGCTAGTGGTGCCTGCTCGTACCAGCATCCCTAGCACCTGTTCGGGTTGTTTTATTAAAAAAAAAAAAAAGAAAAAAAAA